ACACACTGCAGAGGCGCTGGTGCTGATGTAAACGTCGACAGCCGCACTTATCGCGAGGGCTCAGCAGACAGACGTTATGATTTATGAGTGACAAGTTTTTAGCTCAAGTTATAACGTATCTGATTTTGAATGTAGTATGACTGTATATTCAAGTAATCGCAATGCCTAAATATAAGATACAGACGAAGGAAAGTGGCCTGGAAGGGCCAAGTTTGCCCACCCCTGATTGATACGATCCTGTCTTTTATCTTTTAAACGGTCCAGATTGATAAATCCTTGAAAACTTAAATTAGTTTTGACTGTTCTGTGTAAAATTATAGAACGACACGAAGGTAAGCACATTTACATTAAAAACAATTGTAATTGTCGAATTATAATTCAGTATGTATCAACGAATGACACAGTTTTGACTGTGATGGTGTGTGCATGAACGAGTGTGAAATACCTGCTAATTACGTTGCTTTTTCCTATCACTTATATTGGGCACTTTTTTTGCATTTAAATTGGATTATTCTGGCTGCTGACTATGGAACGATATTCCGGACAATTTTCAAAAGGACTTGCAAATTGTATTTTCAATTGCGTTTTCCATATGTGGACGCATAAATTGTGACATAATCCAAATGCAATTGCAAATCCTGCATTACCGTTTGCATTTTCGCTTTCGCGAACGCACAGTGACTGCCAAATTTCAAATGAAAAAGCAAAGTCCATTTGCAACTGTATTTCCCATGTCTTAGGAGTTACGAGCCTGTCATATTTAAATAGCAATATTAATTACCAGTCTGCTTTTTCACTCTCGCTGCGTCGCGCATGTAACCTGCCAAAACTCAAATGGAATCGCAATTCCTTTTGCATTTGAATTTCCGATGTCTACATGGAAAGCTGCCAATCATCGTCAGGGGCGGGACTATACTAGGGGGCGTGTTTGTATTGGGAGGTGACGTCACTCACAGACGACAGTGCCGAATGCTCTGATCAATGGAGGTAATCGGTAAAGGCTCCGCTAAAGGCAGCTAGCAATCAGTTTCGTACCTGTGTGAACGAATAGACAGTGCAACCTTCTTGGCACAATACATAATTATGTCTTTTTTACCCCAAATGTAGCGATTATCCCCTGCTAACAGCGGGAGCCACAACGGTACGCACAATAGGTCAATATTCACTATTAACCAAACGCTTTCACCTGTCTCAGCATCTCTCACTGTTTACACTCACTTACACTTTTAATCCATAATAGAGAGCGTGTCACACCTGCCTCAAGACCTTTTACCGTTTGCACTCCACTTGATGCACTTAAACAAACAAACAGAGCAAATCTACACGTATTTACCTATTTGCAACCTATATCTTATTCCTATCTAATAGCCTATGTGCACCTGCCTCAAGATCTCTCAGTCTGTTTACGATCCGATAGATGCATGTGACAAAACAGAAAATGCTGCTACTCTTACTCTGCCTGCCCCAGATGACACTTCAGCAGTCAGATCTAGGTGCAGCTGTCACAGAACACGCCACAGCCAAGGCAAGATAACATTAAAAATCACCTGCATCAATCGCGGTGTACAGTGGCTGTAACTAGTGAGAGATCTTGAGGCAGGCGCAACGCTTTGGTGCCACGTACCGGACGCGAACTCCATAACGGATTAAAACGGTTGAATAAAATATAAAGTAAGGTGGAAAATAAGTATAGATTTGCACTGTCTGTTTGTTTAAGTGCATCAAGTGGAGTGCAAACGGTAAAAGGTCTTGAGGCAGGTGTGACACGCTCTCTATTACGGATTAAAAGTGTAAGTGAGTGTAAACTATATAAAATAGTTTATTATAGTTTATTAAATACTATATATAAAACGGGCAGGAAACATCATCAAAGACCCCTCTCACCCCGGACACAACCTGTTTGCACTTCTCCCTTCAGGCAGACGCTACAGATCTCTGTGCACTAGAACATCTAGGCATAAAAACAGTTTTTTCCCCCATGCCATCTCCAGCTTAAACAGCTAACATATGAATCATTACCTGCATTCTGTAATTCATTTCCGTAATTCATTCTACATCCTTAATTATTGCCTCTTTCTCAAGTATTATGCAAATACATATGCATATCTCTTTATTTATACAGTTCTATATAGAGTAAATAATGCACAAATCTGTACATAAATCTACTGTTCCAGATTCATACACATTATTTATTGTTAAGTTTTTACTATTTAAATGTATTTTTTTTTCTGTTCTCATGTCAGATATGTATGTATGTATGTACCAGGAGCACCTTAAAAAAACCACAACAAATTCCTCGTGTGTTTGCACACACCTGGCGAATAAAGCTAATTCTGATTCTGATTCTAAACAGTGAGAGATGCTGAGACAGGTGAAAAGCGTTTGGTTAATAGTGAATATTGACCTATTGTGCGTACCGTTGTGGCTCCCGCTGTTAGCAGGGGATAATCGCTACATTTGGGGTAAAAAAGACATAATTATGTATTGTGCCAAGAAGGTTGCACTGTCTATTCGTTCACACAGGTACGAAACTGATTGCTAGCTGCCTTTAGCGGAGCCTTTACCGATTACCTCCATTGATCAGAGCATTCGGCACGGTCGTCTGTGAGTGACGTCACCTCCCAATACAAACACGCCCCCTAGTATAGCCCCACCCCTGACGATGATTGGCAGCTTTCCATGTAGACATCGGAAATTCAAATGCAAAAGGAATTGCGATTCCATTTGAGTTTTGGCAGGTTACATGCGCGACGATCCTGTCTTTTATCTTTTAAACGGTCCAGATTGATAAATCCTTGAAAACTTAAATTAGTTTTGACTGTTCTGTGTAAAATTATAGAACGACACGAAGGTAAGCACATTTACATTAAAAACAATTGTAATTGTCGAATTATAATTCAGTATGTATCAACGAATGACACAGTTTTGACTGTGATGGTGTGTGCATGAACGAGTGTGAAATACCTGCTAATTACGTTGCTTTTTCCTATCACTTATATTGGGCACTTTTTTTGCATTTAAATTGGATTATTCTGGCTGCTGACTATGGAACGATATTCCGGACAATTTTCAAAAGGACTTGCAAATTGTATTTTCAATTGCGTTTTCCATATGTGGACGCATAAATTGTGACATAATCCAAATGCAATTGCAAATCCTGCATTACCGTTTGCATTTTCGCTTTCGCGAACATGTTGTTTCGAGGGTATCGGTTAATTTCTTGATTGCCGTTTTGACAGTGTCTGCTTGCATATTTTATTCATGTTCGGTAGCCTAATTCTCTTTAATGTAGGCTATATTTGCCCCGATTTGATCCGTTTACCTGGGAAATTTATCTAACGTTATATTTATTTATATTATTTTCTCGTCATTGTTTTGTTTTAAGGAGTTAAAATGGCCCTTATCAACCTTGATTTACATATTCCATCACATTATTTTGACAGTTAAAGTTTTTGGGCGGGTTTTTATGAGCTTTTGGGCTGGAAATCGTCCATCCAATCTAGCAACACTGACTGTGAACTGAATCGATTGCATCACCATCTCAGCCAGGTAGAACTGAGCCATGTCCTCTGGGATACGATCACCAAACTTACTCAGCAACATCAGTAGATCTCCAGTGACACAGTAATCCATGAGTAGATAGTGCAGAGCAGAAGAGGAGAGACACTCATAAACCAGAATGAACAGACAGCACTGTACTGGAGAAAGATTCTGAGGCAGATGAGACTAAAACTATTATGAATTATTTGGCCTCAACACCAAACGATATGTCTGGCGGAAATCCATTACAGCTCACCATCGAAATACCAGCATTCCTCCAGTAAAGCATGGAGGTGGTAATATCCTGTTATGGGCTGTTTCTCTGCAGCAGGGACTGGAGCACTTGTCAAAACACTGTCACATTCTTGAGGAAAATCTGCTGCCCTCTGCCAGAAAGATGTCAATGAGAAGAAGGTTTACCTTCCAACATGACAATGACCCAAAGCACACAGTGGCTGAAGGAGAAAAAGGTGAATGTCCTTGCATGGCCTCGTCAGAGCCCAGACTTAAACCCCACTGAAAATCTGTGCAAGGACTTGAAGACTGCAGTCCACAAACAGTCACCATCAAATT